TTTATAATTAATGAGATAATGATAGTAGAAAGTATAGAAAAATGATATTTTAATCATTTTCCAAACATTCACAGCAGACTGTATACAAATGCTCAACTTCTCGCGGGAGTTCTCAGCCCCTAGATAAATTTTGAAGGTCATTAAATTCCAATCGTTCGAGAAAGAGGGATTGCATCAGGCCTGAAGGTTCAATGACCTAAAATGTGCAGCTACAGAAAAAATCGTGGTTCTGCGCATTCTTTTTAGAATCCTGGGAGGATTTTCTTGTTGCTGGGGTGTACAGAATACCCCACGCGAGTGATCGCGGGTTAAAAAGAATACACACAGGAAGCAATTCCTTCCCAGTTACATTCTATTTTTAATGACAATATGATTCATAATTAGCTAGTTTCCTGTTCCAATATTTCACAATCTACTCGTATCTGCAATAAACTGTCATAAATTCACCCTCCCCCTACTCCTCCTTTGTAGAGGGGTTTTTTAAAAATAATTATAATAATATTTTATTGTATTTTCTTGTTCCTGCATTTTTTTTTATCATTAGGGGCTTTGAGATGACACGGAGGGTCATGGGCAGATTTACCAAATATAGTCTGAAAAAAAGTGTTTGTGCTTATGACCAAACGATAAAAGTGACAACTTCAAATTTTGTAATGTTATTTCAGGGATTAGTTCTGCGAATAAATAACAAGGAGATATTAGTATTGTCATATAAAAATTATTTATTCATATGTCTATATGTATATTATTTATTCATACGTAATATTTTTGCAAAATATACAATCATATTTGTGAATTAATTGTATTCTACGAAGGAAACAATAGCTTTATGATAGTGAAATAGGTTAAAATACTTTACATTCAAAATTATTTAAATATCTAAAAAATATTCCGTCAAGCGTTGTTGTGTAATTCGTCGTGTTTTCATTTAGATCATTTGACATAATTAAACTGAATTTTGATTTTAAAAAATAAACTAAAGGTTTTGATTTGTCTTTAGAAAAATCTACATTAAAATCCTCACTTAAAATCATAGGTAATTTGTTCATATTGTAACCAAGACTCTGGTGGATTGATTGCCTAGAAAAAGAACTGCAAATTATTAATGTCAGAAACTGGAAAAGTCGGACCAAGAACAGGACAGCATGGAATGAAATTCTTAGGAAGGCTAAGGCCCTGGGCTGTCGTGCCATTGAGGAAGGAAGGATACCACCGCATTTAGGCCTACAACCCCTTATTTAAAACTGGGATTACTATGGAAGTAGTTGCAAAAAAAGAAGAAACATGCAAAAAGAACGACAAATTTTTTTAATATTTTCATCGCATTATTCACCAGCTTGTGCTTCAAAATCTTAAATATGAGATTTTTCTTAAAAGTAATATTAAACAATATTTCTTATTACAACTATTTTGTTTTCTTATAAAAAATATGAAATATTTATAACTTGATTGTTAAACTAATTGGAATATGGAACGACTAGGTATGCATATTATGAAATACAATGAACTTGAGTCTAATAAAGACATAATATAATCTCATTCTAAGAATCGTATTTTATTAATTTTGTTAACATTAACAACATGCGGCCCCCGACATAATATAAAATAGACCATGTGTCCCACAATATCATCTGCGTTTGACATGCCTGCTCTAAATCCTATGGTGTGTGTGGGGGGGGGGG